CCCCCCCCCCCCTGAAGAGATGCCTGGAAGAAACACTGCCAGGTGTAATGCGGGCAATAGGACTAGTGTGACTTCAAATGTTGTTTGACAGGAAATCTTCAACGCACAAAAACCACGCATTAGAAGTCACGTGACATCACGTGCCAGGCACGTGGAGAAAGTTGTCAGTGACGTCAAATGCTTGTGTTGGTCGGCGTCAAAGCTCGCGTTATGTTTCTACCGATTGTGTCCAAATTTTTCAAGACCAATAGACAAAGGTTTCAATTGTCAGTGGCTATTGTAACAGTTATCAGGTATCAACAGACGAAGTTGTCAAAGATGTCTAAAGTTCAGGAGAATTTGGGAACATACAGTGTCAGCACTATGAAAGGACTCTAGGGATACAAGATGTTGCTTTTACACAGCAGAAATGTTGTCTTCTATAAATGTTGTCTTCGTTGTGGGTTTTTTTTTACATTGTCTACAAATGTTGACTTTTTTACTTTCTCGTATATACGTAGTATAGAGAAAGTATTGTAATCGTGCAAAAAAAAAATCGAGATTTTTACAAATCTCGACGTTTTACACCTCACTGATACGGAAAAACATAATTTTGCAATCTTGTCCGTATGTCTGTGTGTGTGTGTGTCTGTGTGTCTGTGTGTCTGTGTGTAAACACGATAACTTGAGTACCGTTACAGCTAGGTTGATGAAATTTCATATATAAGTATTTTATCAAAATCGTAGATCCGTATCAACTTTTGAGCGATTTTCGATAACCGGAAGTGGTACTTTTCCTACTTTGAATTTTTCAAAAGCCTATAACTTGAGTACTATTTCAGATAGATACATGACATTTCACATGTAAGTAAAAGATCTAATTCTCTACCTTCTGTTAAATTTTGAGTAATTTCCGTTGACTGGAAGTAGTAATTTACGCAACTTTCGATTTCTCAAAAAACTAATGTAAATTTTAGAAGTACTAATAATATTGCGCACTATTATGCGCTTTTTTATTTGGCGTTCACTTGGTGTGCAATTAATTTGTCTACGAGATTTTATTCTATTTTTAAAACTTTAAGTATTTAAAATGGATTAAAAATCATGTCTATAGCCCGAGTTCCCATCCCCTGTTATTTTATATAAGAATATTCGAGAAAGTTTAGGGGAGATCACTCCCGGTTTATTTTCTAAGGTTGGAGGAAATATCTTAAGATGTCGTGGTTGTTCTCAAATTCAACATTGGATGCTGTCGTGGTTGTTCTCCATTTCTTTATTTGATATTGTCGTGGTTGTTCTCCATTTCTACATATTATGATGTTGTCGCGATTGTTCTCCATTTCTTTATTTGATGTTGTCGCGATTGTTCTCCATTTTTTTATTTGATGTTGTCGCGATTGTTCTCCATTATCTAATGTTATGTTTTATTTGCTCTCCATTGCCTAATGTCATGTCTATCTGCCTCTATGTCAGTGCAGCAGTTGAGTTATCCACCTACATGATAATTCTAGTCTCTCTAGATTGGCATCCAACAAGATAGAAATCCATTATTATGTCTGCACTACGGTAGCTTTTATTTCTTCCACACTACATGCCGCGTGCTAATATTTTTCCAATAGATCATTTGTTCACATCCAGTATTTAACTAATCAATATTTAGGAACTGTGTAGGGTCTAGCAGTAGACTGCTCGCTTGCTAACCCGAAAGACAAAATCCTGACCGACTGACCCTAATGTCCGAACCAGGTGGTGCCATCACTATGATGGGGGGAGGGGGGTGGGGGAACCCACGGGTCTAGCATGGGTGAGGGGAGGGGGGAACGGGTCTAGCATGGGTGAGGGGAGGGGGGCACGGGTCTAGCATGGGTGAGGGGAGGGGGGGCACGGGTCTAGCATGGGTGAGGGAGGGGGGAACCCACGGGTCTAGCATGGGTGAGAGAAATGCTCGATTCTAAACCATATTCCAGTATTACTCGCTTATGAGAAACATTTTGAGCCGGTTTTTGTCTTGTAAGAGTGAGAGTTGAACAAATTTATTCTCACAACAATTTTTTTTAATGTTATGTTCTCGAGATCATTTTTCCTTCCCTTGACTGATAAAAAACAAAACAAAACGTAGCTCTCTGATTAATGTGATGTTTTGATGCAGCCAATCCTCATCAAGTGCAGACAATCGGATTACACAAACATGATATCTGTGAAGACTTATGGGAAATGACAACCCAGCTGCTCGCATCCCTTGAGCAGGATCAATTCGGGTTGCTAATGATGTCACCAATTATTGAAGCGTGTCTCTGGGCGCGTGCTGGTGGGGATTAATTAATGGGCAGACAACTTTGGAATAAGCCGGCATATTTAGGGGTGGAGTTGATCCCCTTGCTGGCTTGTACTACTGACACGCTTTGCAAGGGAATTGTTTTCTTTCCGTGTATTCCATAGCAAATATATAATGCATTTGCCTGTTTATATCCTAGTGATTATTAAGCTTGTACGTATAAAGTAAGTGGAATCCAGCCCTCCCCTCGCCCCACCTCCACCCCCCCCCCCCCCCCACACCCAAGTTCCACTGTCTCAATTCCCATCTCTCAAATATTGACCAAATTAATATTCCGCTGTTGTGGCCGAATGTGTCAACAAAATATCAACATTTGTTGTTGACGGTGGTTAAAGGGTTAAACGTAGATAACTACAACATTTGTGAATCAGGCCTCATAAACTCGCTTCACTAACAGGCAAGAATTCGGATTACTGTTAGGTTTTGAATATCAGTATTGCAATAATAAACGTTTTTTTTATACAAACTGTGTGATTTTGAATGCTTTAACGAAAATTAAGTATAATTACAAGGGATAAAAAACATTTGTCTAAAATTGGTATTCATTTTTTAAAATTTATTCTGAACACATGATTCGACCAGGTAACTAAATGAATACACCTACTTATCAAAGACTGAATCTATTTTCATTAAAAAAAAATATTTCAAAATGTAACACGTATGTGATACCGGGGTCTGCAGACACTAAAATTTGTTTTTCTCGTAAGTCAAAAAGTGTGACAACTGTGGTTTAGCCCCTGTGTTCTTCAATGCTACAATACAAATGAATAGCACCATCCATACAGTTTCTTCCAGGCATCTACAGCCCCCCCCCGAACGAAATGAAATTTATATAGAAAATATATACTTTTAACAGTGTCCGCCCCCCCCCCCCCCGAAAAAAGTCTATCGCCCCCCAAAAAAGTCTACCGCCCCCCACCCTGAAATTTTAAGTGCCCCCCCCCCCCCCGGAGAAAAAAGTCTAGAAGAAACACTGCGTCCATAACACTCAGATTTGTATACCACAACTTTGCAGGCCTACGAATGTTTACTAAAGGTCAAGGCTAACCAATCCTATAGCTGTCAACCCGATGTTGGATGGTTTTAATAAAAAGCCCGATTCCTCATAGCTCGGAGCTAATGTTCGCATCTCGTGTTAGTTTGGTCGCCAGCCTTTGTTGGTCTACTTTCGTTATTCTGGTTTAATATCTACCAGTTTGTTGTGACGGGTGCCGAACGTTTGGCCTAAAGACACTTGACCGAATGTCTTTGCCCTAAAGACACTTGCCCGAATGTCTTTGCCCCAAAGACACTTGCCCGAATGTCTTTGGCCCCAAAGACACTTGCCCGAATGTCTTTGCCCTAAAGACACTTGCCCGAATGTTTTTGCCCTAAAGACACTTGCCCGAATGTCTTTGGGCTAAGACACTTGCCCGAATGTCTTTGGCCTAGAGAAACTTGCCCAAATGCCTTTGCCCCAAAGAAACTTGCCCGAATGCCTTTGAAGTATTTCCAGTTACATTTTATAGCGAAAATTGCTAACATACTAACATGCGCTTAAGGTTTAAAACTAAAAAATATTGAATGGCATCGCCGCAGAGTACTTGCATTCAAAGATTGATTACATTTTTTATTCTACCGTTTTATTAACGAGAACGGATACGGTTATAAAAACGTGATTGCGTGCTTTTTGGATTACTTTTCCAGATTGGACGGAATTGTGATTATCCTTTTCAAAGACTAAACAAAAGATTGAAAATAAAATAAAAATTGGAAATTTACACCTGAATACTATAATGTAATATAGAAAATTTTGAATTACACACCAGAGAAGAGTGATGACATAAAATAAATTATATATAACGCTGTGGAACAAAGGATTGACTGGAGAGTTAAAAATGGTCGTCATATGTGTGTCTGTGTCTGCCTGTCTTCCTGTCTATATGTCTGTCTGTGTATGTCTGTGTGTTAATGTGTGCGTGTGTGTATGTTTCTGTCCGTGTGTGTGTGTAGGGATATGCAGCCCAAAGTAAACAAATATTTTCCAGTTCTCTACATTTACAAGTTGTATAACATTATTTTCTTAAAATATTTCATTTCGTAATCATTTTTTTTCATAATTTTTAAATATTTTTAAAGCGTCTATTCAAAAGATGAAAAAAATAAATTAAAAAACGTTTTCACTAGCTAACAAAAATCGCCGTCCATCTTTGATGTCAAAGTTGTCTGTCATCATTTTGACACACGTGACCCGCTGACAAGGCACACTCGAGCAAGTTGAAGGCTATTGATTGGAGCGTGACAATCTCGCTCGCGAGGCTGCACGAGGTTGGCGCGAGAACAAAGATCTACTGTCGCGTGTCGCTTTGTTTACGTATTGATTTCTCGACTGGCATTTCTACAAGATGATCCCTGCATTTGTGATTTGCCGTCGCCAGCCTTGTTAGACAACATTCATTTCTGATACTTTCCGTGAAATGTATTTTCGTCTACTTCATTATTTCCTAATTCCGTATACGTTTTTGTAATAAACACCAAAACCATCTAATTAAGATAAATTCACTATATTATAGATCTACGTGTTAAATATGTTTATTAATAATGGTTACAATAATAAATAATATTCGTTTCGGTGCAAAAATTCCCGGGTAACTTTTTATTTTTAATAAACTCAGGATGTGAGGTGTAGAAAATGTTCAGTACTTACATACATTACAATACAAATCCAATGTGTACGGTGTAGCAGATGGCGATGTGATTAACACGTCTGGGGTCAGCACATTAGATGGCCGGGGTTTGTAGGTATGTTACACACAAACACGATTGTTTGTATACACAAACTCTGGCTGTCAGTACGCATGGTATTACGTCACTTCCACCGTTTGTTGTTGTGGTGGTTTGAAGTCTGTTTGCCTGTTGTTTACAGTGTGTTGTTCAAGTTAACACATTGACCCACTTCAGCAGTGTGTTGTTAACACTGTGACCCACTTCAGCAGTGTGTTGTTAACACATTGACCCACTTCAGCAGTGTGTTGTTAACACTATGACCCACTTCAGCAGTGTGTTGTTTAAATTAAGACAGTGACCCACTTCAGCAGTGTGTTGTTCAAATTAACACAATGACTCACTTCAGTTTATCTGAAATAGAAATACCTTGTTGTTTTACACTGTTTAAAAGAACGCGCATTGGAAATTTTACAAGCAAAGGAGTAACCGAGGGCTAATCGAATTTCAAACAATCGCCGCCTCAATAGGCCTGTCAATAATGACAGATCGATGGATGTTATCGATAAACATGGCTGGGAGAAACAATCATGTATTTGAATATTCCTGCTGTACAAAGAAAATGCAACAGATTGTAAATTAAATATGATGGTGAGGTTATAAAATAAGGTTGGTATAGTATTCCTCAAAACAAATATGGTAACTGATCATAACTTGAAGAGTTGTTCTGTTAATGTTGGTTTTGCAGATCGCTTGATGTCACGTCATAAACTATCCCTAGTGCTAACATACCCATTCGGTAAAGCTCATGGTTACTAACCCGAAAATTCACGAGTTCGAACCCTCTGGCAGATGAGGCGGTAGCTGGGGACAAACACTTTTCTAGTTTGTTCGTGGTTGGACAAAGGCTATTAGAAGCAAATCCAAAACAGAAAATTTGAATAGCAGGCCTCAACAGCACATAACCAGTTGACACGTATACTAAATTGTGTTGGAGGGTATCTCTTTCAATACTAAAATTATGAACGAAGAGGAAGTCCAACACCCAACCCATTCAGACTAGCACTCAACCCAGCTCCTAATAACCTGGGAACCTTTGACTGACAAGTCAGTGGTGACACCATGATCACCAAACTATAACTGGAAGTGGTGACACCATGATTACCGACTATAACTGGAAGTGGTGACACCATGATTACCGACTATAACTGGAAGTGGTGACACCATGATTACCGACTATAACTGGAAGTGGTGACACCAAAACTATAACATATAGCTTCAATAACTAATTATAACATATGGCAAAGCGGTCAAATAACCAAATATAAACAGCATGGCAAATTGGTCAAAAAATCAAATATAACAACATGCCAAATAGCCAATTATAACATTGTAGCATGCCGATCATATATCCAATTAGTAAACGATGCCATATTGTGCAAACAGCCCACCATACCATTCCATCCAGCTGTGATCGCATACAAACTCGCCCACCTCACATTTATATCCATATTTTTATCAGTTTAACTCTTATCTCACGGTGATTGAGGGGCTGATTGTGTCTGCCTCGGGACAGAGGGGGGTGAAATCGATATCTTGTGTATATCGATACCTTGTTTACATCGATACCATGTTTACACGTGATTTAAAAGGTTGCAATGTGACACGTCGGTATCGGGCTGGGGGTGGCTACAATTGTTTTGTCAGCGTTCAGTTAGCTTTGATCCACTCGCCACGGCTTCTAGCGCTAGCAACATCTAGGCTTGAAGCTTGTGACAAATTTTGTTGCCTACAGCTGCTGCATATGGGCTATGATCCATTTGGATATTTTTTTAAACCACGATACTGACATCATAGCGCTCGATTATCTGCACATCAATATACTGGGTAGTGGTGATAACATATTGACAATTACTGAATCGAGCTGTAGTCAGAGGCGTAGCGACGGGGGACGGGGGTGCATATTTCCCCGGACGCCGGCCCTAGGAGCGCCAAAATAGGCTAATTTTAGCTGCTATTTTGAATTATAAATATAATTTGGGGGCGCCGAATTGAAAGTTTGTCCCCGGGTGCCGGGAGGGGTCGCTACGTCTCTGGCTGTAGTGTTGGTCATATTATAAAACAAGAATGTAATTAATGTATTATCTTTCCGTTACATTATGCTAAATCTAGTTAGCTGGTGGCCTAAATCCGTACTACGTAAAAATATTTGTGATTATTCAATTTTTTAAAACTATTATTTGTTTCATCTTTGTATGTATGTGTTTATGCATGTATATAAAATTAATTATATCATATTTTATGAGCAATATCATTAGTAACAGTTATTGAATGAAATTGCTAGTCGTTCTTTTAAGGAGATGGGATTTATGTTTTTTTTATTTTACAATAGTGAGTGGTGTCTATGGAATTGTTTTAAATTATTATATGAAGTGTGGGGATCTCAAAACATGACACATATGTGACATATATGTGTGTATATATATATATATATATATATATATATATATATATATATATATATATATATATATATATATATATATATATATATATATACTAAACTATACATATATATACGATCCCATTGTTATATTATAATACTTGAGATTTACAAAGAAAATTACAAGATGATGTAATGTTGTAAATTACAAATGAAAAATACTGGACCGTATTAATATCATGGTTGGGCTAAAAAAAATAATATTAATTAACAGAATTTGTTGCTATTAAATTAATAGTAAATAATATAAACGGCTTTTATCGCACGCCGTTTGTTATGTACGTTAGTGATATTGTTGCATACTAAATAATGCAAGAATTTCTGCACATGTGGTATTAGCATATCAGTTTCTCCGTGCTATGTCTTTCCTGGGTGACGATATTTTTAGCTGCTACATATTCTTCTGTATTTCAACCTTAACTTTTTTTCTTTTTACAAGAAGAGCGGTCATCCACAAAATGTCAACATGGCTGATCAACTTTATCGGCCGTGACATCATCGGTAATGCCACTTGGAGGTGACTTCACAAGATCAAAAGGTCCAGGTTTTAAAAAGAATGACATCCCTCGCCTGATTCTGGAAGAAATCTTGACCCCCACCTACCCCACCCCGACAGTCTGCTAACCAGCCGTTTTGTCTTATCTAGAAAATGGATTTTTTATCGGGGTTAATTTGTACCCTCCGACACCGGATATGATGATCGGGGGGGGGGGGGGGGGGGAGCGTCCCGTCTCAGACGTTCTGGTGTGGGGTGTTTTTTTCTTAACTTCCACGGCTGATTATTATTTTTTTAGGCGGTGGCCAAAATTTCACAGTGGAGCTTCATGTTTTAGATTTTAGACTGAAGTTATTCAAAATATCACGTGATGGAAAGTATCGTTCGCGCAAAGTCAAGCTTTATTTATCAAGGACAATCTCCAATACAAATAATAAAGACTTGAATATATATATATATATATATATATATATATATATATATATATATATATATATATATATATATATATATATATATAGATAGATATATATAGATATAGATATATAGATATATAGATATATAGATATATAGATAGATATATATATATTCATATCTACGGTGAGACAGAAAGAGATGTCCATATGCCATATGTGGAAAATATGCTATAACATAATATGAGACAGTTGTTTTATAGGAGTGCATATGAAAGGGGGTTTCAACCCCTGATTACAACCCCCTGTCTACGTCATTGTATATACAATACTTTACAAAATTCCGAAGTTTTCCTATGTTCCATGATTTTTTATTCTTCTAAATATGTTCTTTAAAGAAACACAATTTAAAACGTTCTATTATTCTTACGTGCAGGCTTCGCTTATGCCTGTTAAGCTTTAAAACTCTTTTGTTTACAAAAGTAATCGAAAATTTGTAATATCGCCGCGCATACATCCACGTGTGAGTTTTAGCCCTGAAGAAGCACAAAGTAAACAAGCCAACTCTCGTTCAAGTCCCGTGAGTGACGGGACTTTGTGATATTTGTCTGTGAATTAGATGTAAAAGGTTTATGTAATCGTGTTGTTTTTGTTAAATCCCAGAGAGATGGCATTGCCAAAGGTTAAAAACATGAATATTTTACATTAGGATAGAAGATAAAACGAGGTTTTTTTAAGTAATAGAACATAAATATTTAAATAGGAATAAAAGATAAATAAGTATTTTAAATAGATAACTATTTTAAATGGGAATAGATGATGAAACAAGTCTTTTAAAAATTGAAGTTTTAGACAAGGAAAAAAATATAGGGGAAAAATTATAAAAATTTAAGATTTTAAGGCAAATTGTCTTAAATAAGAATATACGATAAATCTAGGGAACAGAATTTAAAATATCAATATGTCCTATAAAATACGGTAAAACTAGTTTTTACAACCAATAATTTTCTGCGGGTGGACACTGGTTAAATTTTATATTTTCTATATAGAAATCTATATTAGAATGTTTTCCATTTCGAGGAAGGGGGAGGCGTTTATTTGTTTGGGGTTGGGGGTGGGCTGAGGGAGAGAGAATTGCCTCTCCGTAGAGATGTCTGTAAGAAACTAAAAAAAAAAACAATTTTCGTTGTTTTCAATTTATTCTAAAAATTCCACCCAAAGTCTGGATGTGTTTACATGTCATGTTATTGAATACATTAGCCGTCAAAAGTTTAATTCACCCACATCCTATCCAGTTTAATTGTTAGAACAGTGTGTAAGCCAACAACTCGATAAGGTAAGGAGTAAAACGTAACGCGAATAGAGCCGATTTTAACAGCTTTAGGCGCGGAACTATTTGTCTGTGAACATTGCCAAGATCGATGATGACAATAAGTTTCAAGTGTGGTCTTTTTGTAATGTCAGTAAACATAGCATGGCGCTGTTTCTTAATTCAATTCTAGGAAAAAAATCGCATTTTTATTTCTTAATTAAGTAGTCTAGAAAAAATTTAGTATTTTTGCTTAAAATAGTTTTTTTAAAGCATCGCTATTCGAGTTTTTTAAAACTGTTTTTTCACATTACCTTCATATCGTTATACCATATTTTGTGAGCAATAACACTCGCTAGAACACGTTTCATGTACATGAGCTTTAAACCTTGTATTTCTCTCCCTTGCTGTTAATCAAATAACAAAATTTAAGTTGCGTTGTAGTTCACAAAAAAGACTTCACAAGTAGCAGCGACGAGAGGGGGGGGGGGCACTCACTTCGAGGGGTGACATAAAAATAAAAATAAATTGCTTAGAAAGCAAACATTCAACAACTTATAAATGTTTATATATATATATATATATATATATATATATATATATATATATATATATATATATACTTAAATCAACTTATATCAACACTTAAAATTTAAGTCCACCCCTTCCCCTCCCCCTCCTTCCCCCCCCCCCCCCCCCCCCGTTGAATATTGTTTGAAACAAACACAGTTTATATAAGTGTATACTTGAAGCTACTAGTTTAAACTGAACTATTTTCAAGCAGCGCCCTCTTCTATTGGTTGGTATTGACTATGATCTTGTACTACGAGATTTTGAATAAATAATACGTTCCTATTTAAGGTTCATAACACTGTACTCTCTAAGCCTGAAACTAACTCTCCTATGCGAGTACGATTTTAATTTTTAATCAGTTTTCCGTACCGAACAGAAAATCACCGAAAAACGCTGTTATGCTTGAAAGTGTAAAATATTGATTTTTTTATTTTTTTATTTTTTTATTTTTTTTTAAATCGAATACAAAATTACATCAGCATATTTTTTATAAGCATTAAGATGTTTGAATAAAACATTAGCCTCGATTGTTTTTGTTTACTCTGCTCCATAATTAACGAGAATCTATACAATAACTATTTGCTGTACGAGAGTCTACACAATAACGATTTGTTAGCCGTTGCATTACATGAAGTGAAAAAAAAAGAAAGCGGTAATTTTTTTTTATTGGAAACAATACGCGCTTGCCTCGGTAATATATTTCTAGATGTGGAGCCACAGACGGATCAATTTCTGTTTACCCTGATTATGTTCGTAACTTGAAAAGATCGTGACCCGACCAGGTAGTGTTGCCACTGGCTAAACAACTTTTCAAGTCCTTACAACTGGTTTAATTAAATAAATGTAATCAGCGGATTATGGAACTTTCTCGAAATCCTTCTTCCAATGACATAATTAATTAACGAAATCGTATGTTAATTTACAGACAGATGATGCTGATCCGGAAGTTGTTCGTACCGCGAACAAGTGCTTCAAAATACGAACCGTTATTTTATTTACGTTTGGTTCGAATGAGACAAAATTCTTGAAAGTAAAAAAAAAAAATGGAAAAAAAACGACTATTAATAACTAGATCACCAAGATTAAAGGAACAAATAGAAAAGGAATACAGTGTAATTATAAAGACCAAGAAATAAAAAAAATTAATGCAGGCAGAACAAACCAATTACCATGACACTATCACAGAAAGCAGAAAATGACACAAAGACTGTCTAGAACATAATTAAGCAACTTCAACAATAGAAACAATGAACCTCTAACAGTACTTTAAAGTATAGTTAAATTGTTATGCTGTAGTGTCAAAATGTTGAGATTATGTGGATACATAAAATAACAGAACCTCGCTGTCTGACTTTCAAAGCACACCACCGACCCCCCATCAAAGCTGAGGAAACAAAAAATTACCAACTTGCCACACTCCGTCCGCGGCCAAACATTACATGAACACGTCCATTTAGCGCAGCGTGTTTCCTAGCAGTAAAGAAACGGATCACTAGTCCACACAAACGAATGGAGTTATCGCTGGCGGTAACTAGCGGACCCACCGTACTTGTTCTTATAAGCACGCCACGCGAACGGCGGCGATCAATTGTTACACTCAATCCATCGGCTCGCGCGGGCATGCGTGCTGGGTGGACAGGGCGAGCCGGCGAGATGTAGCCAGTAGGTTGTAGGGAGGCTGGGGTAGCCAGTAGGTTTTATGGGAGGTTGTAGTAGTCAGTAGGATGTAGAGAGGTTGGGGTAGACAGTATGTTGTAGGGAGGTTGGGGTAGACAGTAGGTTGTAGGGAGGTTGGGGTAGCCAGTAGGTTGTAGAGAGGTTGTAGAGAGGTTGGGTTAGCCAGTAGGTTGTAGGGAGGTTGGGGTAGCCAGTAGGTTGTAGGGAGGTTGGGGTAGACAGTAGGTTGTAGGGTGGTTGGGGTAGACAGTATGTTGTAGGGAGGTTGGGGTAGCCAGTAGGTTGTATGGGAGGTTGGGGTAGCCAGTAGGTTGTATGGGAGGTTGGGGTAGCCAGTATGTTGTAGGGAGGTTGGTGTAGACAGTAAGTTTTACGGAGGTTGGGTAGCCAGTAGGTTGTAGGGAGGTTGGGGTAGCCAGTAGGTTGTAGGGAGGTTGGGGTAGCCAGTAGGTTGTAGGGAGGTTGGGGTAGCCAGTAGGTTGTATGGGAGGTTGGGGTAGCCAGTAGGTTGTAGGGAGGTTGGGGTAGACAGTAGGTTGTATGGGAGGTTTGGGTAGACAGTAGGTTGTAGGGATGTTGGGGAGCCAGTAGGTTGTATGGGAGGTTGGGGTAGCCAGTAGGTTGTATGGGAGGTTTGGGTAGACAGTAGGTTGTAGGGAGGTTGGGCTAGCCATTCGATTGGAGTTGAGTTGAACAAAATAAAACACTATTTTTTAAAAATAATTTTTCTATTGGATTCACACATTTACTTCATATGGCAAGTTGCGTCAGCCCCTAAATGTCAGATTTATGTAACGACACTTTCAACTAAACACTCACACACTAAACAAATCAATATGAAATACTGCCTAGCCGTTTGGCATGCCGCAGCTCAATGAGATGAGATTATGAAATTCAATAGGAATTGTCGACCTTGGTATTTTCAAGGAAATTTGTTGACCTTCTGAAGTTCGGTGATATTTGTTGACCTTCTAATATACAGTGAGGTTCATTGACCTTCTGAAGTTCAATGAACCTTGTTAACCTCTTTAAACAGATTTGTTGGTCTTCTGTTGGTATTTAAGATTCGTTGACCTTAGAACTTTCATTAATTAAATGTGTTGACCCCCCCCCCCCCCATTTTCTTCTTTAAATTTGTTTCCGTGCACCAAATACTTGAGATCTTGATATCAACAATCTTCTGTTGACAACAACAATCCACCACGTTCATCAAACCAAATGACACATGACATGAACATCAACAACACGCTGTCAACCAAGTGCGGAGATCATCCTCTTTTTGACAACCCCCTGACATCTACAGCCTACTTTTATCAACCCAATGTTGAGATAATCCTATTTTTGACAACCCTGTGTTTACATTAAAAACCCGTGTTGAGATCATCCTATTTTTGACACACACACACCCTCCTACAATGTAACCAACAAATCAATCCTACCACTTAAAGCCATCATTGATTCATGTACTAAAGACACTTCACCTATCCGCTCTGTCACAAATGTCAATGATGTCATCTCGTGTGACATTCACTGGTGCCAGAATGTTCTTTTCATTTAAGCTGACGCGGATGACGCTACTACTTAAGTACCGACTACTCAGCTGCCCCATCGTTGAGGGGGGGGGGGGGGGGGGGGGGGAGGGGCTAGTTACTGTAAATATCAGCTGTTCCGTCTGGTACTTTTGAAACGCTACCCAGCCTTACAGGCCGTCCGCCTCCACGTTACAGAACCTACAATGCCAATATACAAAAAAGTTCCGTCACTCTACCAGTCATTCAGTCGTACATCAACAGAAACTGGCATGAACATTCAAACTGAACATAAACACCAAACACAGAAACAAAATGCAAGCAAAAGTTCTGTATACTTGATTGAAATGTAGCCTAAACTTGTATAACTTACTCAAATTTCATTTCATGACACTGAAATGTCTTTTTTTAATGTTTAAATATTTCTTTTATTTTGGGCAAGACAGATCCATTCACCCCCCCCCCCCCCCTTCTTAAAAAAAATAGAAAAAAAAAATTTGAAAAAGTTATATACTAAGTCACCCTCACCCCCCCAAATCAGAGAAAAATATTTTTTAAAAAAATCCCACACAGACACTGGTCTGTCCATAGGTAACAACAAGCTGATTTGTATTGTTTCTTACACTCATGAGTTGATATTGCAAACCAACATATTAATCAACCATCTCTGACAAAATACACAACTGACATGTTGAAACAATAAGTGACTGGAGTTCAGTTAAAAGTTAACCAACAAAAAAACATCACAATTGCCAGAACAAAACTTAAAACAACAGAACAGAAGAAGATCAAATCATCAAATTTTATTTCCAGCGCCAACACCTTGGGCTGCAACAACATTCAACAGGTTTTATGAAAATTACGACATGGAACAAGTTTTACTCTAAAATGGAACCAAACAATGTAACTTGCCATTGATTTGTAACAAGTTTTGCTCTAAAAATGGAACTAAAAATTGACTTGACCTCGTCATTAAACAAGTATTATTCTGTAATACACAACAAACCATTTAATTCTACCCCTTAAAAATGAAATGAAATAAATATTTTTAAAAAGTTGTTACATATTTTTTAACAAACAGAAATAGTGAAAAGAGGTATCATTGCAGGTAATACTGTCTGAGAGTCTACTGTCCAGGTAAACTCGTGACCTGGAGGAGATGACACTTAAAAATAAACCTTAAAAAAATGACATTTCTTTATAGTAGAGACAATATTGCAACATTCACAAAGTTGAAATTATTGTTTAAATACATTCATGTTAACAACATTTGTAAATTAAAAAATACAACTTGTACAAAAAAGTATAAAAAAAATTCATTGAAAAACTCCAGGGATATGCCTAGAACAATGCCTCAAGGACTCTCAGACAAGAAATAACTAGATGAGTGGGTCCTGCTTTAACAACACAACCCCACTGATGAACTGCATGACTTGAGCATTGACTGCAAAATTCTTTGCTTGCTAATACTGTCTTCAGTCAAGCATGTGCACACATCACTAGTTTAACTTACATACTGTACCTCTAGTCTTTTCTTACAACACACCCTCCGCTTTGACATACCACAGCCTTAACTTATACATAAAGCACACCCATTTCATTTTTAAAAAAAAGTTTACAGTAAATTTTTATAAACACACTCAGTAATCTACATTGTGTTAACAAAAAGTTCAGGGTTATCTTCCTTGCCTTAATATGGGGAAAAAAAATTGAGTTGTCCCTCAGTTAAAACTAACATAATGTCAACATTTTGATGTAATCCATGATGTGAAATACAGCAAAAAAAACTGTTAGAGAGCAAAACTAAAACTAAAATTCAACAGTAGTCTTAATGTCAGTAAAATAAAATGAGCTGAATTGGCATAAAATAATTTCATCACTCTTGTTATTTGACAGAAGAAATTTGAACCACAATAAAATAAGAGACTTTATCAAATTGTTACAAGAAAAAATTGTGTTAGACTATATTACCTAAAACAGTCTCTCTCATTACAACCCTTGGGTCTATCAGATGCCACAAGGCTACAAATTATTACATTGACTGGAATGGCTATAAAACATCTTACATAGAAATACCATCACACAAACCACATCTCTACCATCTCACTACAGGGTGCACCATCCTCCTGTGACATTATGTCCTGTTTCTTGACACAAGCTTTAACTCTATTAGCTCTGTGATGTTGAATGTGTCCTGACAAAATGAAATAAAACTAAGTTAACAACAAAATTTAGTAATTTTAGAAAAAATACCTACACTGGTAAATAATATTGTGCTTTTAATTTGATTACCACAAAAATATTTCACAATTTGGAATATGCTGGTTATGGGAAAATGCAAAGTTATAATTGAATAAATACCCATTGGTTTTAAAATATTAAGTTTATAGTAGTTATTTCCCCTTGTATGTTTTTTTTTATTTTTTATTTTAAACCAAAGAAAAGGTCAGAAAAAAGAACAAAGGATGCTGGATCATGGATATGCATTTTAAAAATAGACTTACTAAATCTAACTTAGGATCAAGTAACAAAACAAAAGAATACTCCCCATAAAAAAAAACTTTTTTAATAATATTTTTCTAACAGTCAAGAAAAAAATGTTTTAAAAAACCAAATTACTTTTTAACTATGATAAAAACATCACTAATAATAGTAATAACTTAGAGAAAATTTATTTAAAGTAGAATACTAGCCAAGTGGAATGGGACATCATGGTTGAGCTTTGGTTTTTATCTGACTCACATAAGAGAAAGTAAAGTCTGCTGGGGTAAGTGCTGACCACACCATCCCTTCATTATTCAATTGCAGAACTCACTAAAACAGTTGAACTCTACTTCGGCTGCCTTTTTGACCGTAAGGTTCAAAAGGGTGCTTTACTTTATAGAATACTAGCTCTAATGAATATGTGTTGGGAAACTAAAGAAATTTAATCAAAACTTACCACACTATTTTCAAAAAACTCGTCATCATTTTCATCCTCATAAACCAACTCAAACCGACCAGTTCGTTTTCTTCCTGCAAAAGATGTTTATTGAAAAAACAAATTTCAAATTAAATTCTGTATGATTATATATTCAAGGTGCATGCATCACATCACAAATACAATAGGCTTATGATAATAAAACGTGATTCTTCATAAATTTGAATTAACATGGTCTTTTTGAAAACAGTAATGAGATGCGACAGACATTCATTACATCAACATCACTACTAACACAAGAGTCAATTTCTAAGTGATTTCACTCAGATGAGAAAATCATCACCAACCTTTTTCCCCCCTGATCTCCAGTTGGACAGACTGAGTCTGTGCGTTGACATTTAAGACCTTGGCCTCCTAGAAATATACAACTTGTATTAGTACATGCACAAACTAAACATGTATAAACAAATACTGGACAGACTGAGTCTGTGCGTTGACATTTAAGACCTTGGCCTCCTAAAAATATACAACTTGTATTAGTACATGCACAAACTAAACATGTATAAACAAATACTGGACAGACTGAGTCTGTGCGTTCACATTTAAGACCTTGGCCTCCTAGAAATATACAACTTGTATTAGTACATGCACAAACTAAACATGTATTAACAAATACTGGACAGACTGAGTCTGTGCGTTCACATTTAAGACCTTGGCCTCCTAGAAATATACAACTTGTATTAGTACATGCACAAACTAAACATGTATTAACAAATACTGGACAGACTGAGTCTGTGCGTTCACATTTAAGACCTTGGCCTCCTAGAAATATACAACTTGTATTAGTACATGCACAAACTAAAGATGTATTAACAAATACAACATCAGCTAGAAAAACTAAGTTGCTGTCATCAAAACAGTATAACAGTGACTAATATGTATCTTTGATAGAATACAACTAAATTTAAAAACAAAACAAAAAATTACAGATTTATTCTTTTTCTCTAAAAAATCTCCCAATTCAAAAATGTTACATAGTCCTAATATAATCTGTTTTATATTCATTATAAAAATAAAGATTATTTAAATTTAAATAGAAATATTAACATGTTTCCAAGCTGTTAATTTAATTAGGTAATTTACCTTAAAGTCAGACATAACAGGCTGGTAATCTTCAGATAACTCTAGAACCTGTTTAAAACATTCGGTACAATTAAAATACTCATTGTCTCCATTAATTATATTACACAATAAAGAAACTACATAATATTTCTCACTAACTACCAAATATTTTACAACTAAATATTTAACCTTAAAAGTAATAATGTCTCCAATTTGTGGTAGCCCATCAATTGAGTCAGTGCTACTTTTTCTTGTGTCCTTTACTACAGTCTGTTTCTGATGAAAAGTGTTTTCTATGGCGTCTGATCTGACACTTGGATGCTGAAACATTTCAAACCCTCTGTAGCATTCAATAACAAAATATTTTAAACTTTAATAGAACAATGTGTTAATCAACCATGTAAGTCTAACAAACATTTCTATCACCATCTATTGATGAACCGTTCTCATGTTAGGGAAACAAGACGGCTAGGCATAGTACTGACCACACTATAACTTTGTATGCCGAGGTAATTGAAACAGATGAACTCTACTTCATCTGCCCCATTTGTCTTGGGCAGGAATGGGAAAAGGCGATGATGAAGACCTACCTGCATGACAGTCGACACATTGACCAACTCATCTGTGTCTGGATTGGCTGCAGCAGATGACCTGTCCCTCTTCTCCCTGTACGAGACACACAGAGCATGACCCGAGTCCGTGTGGGTCACCTCCAGCTTCCTGCCAGTGTAACCCCTCTGGTTCAACAGCTGCTGGAACTTGTCTGCCGGGTTGATGGGGACACCTGTGGCTGCAGGTGATGACTTTGACATGTCCATTTTATTTTCTTTTGTCGAGATCTGAGTCGGCACAGGCGTTGATGAACACGGCACTTTGAAACTAGGCTTTGCGTTATCCGGAGCATATGAAAAACTAATACTTGCGTTCTCTTTGAACTGTTTATTTGAACTTTCCTTCCCAACAACAACAGTGGGTGTTGCATTCAGTTCCTGATGACTATCATCTACCCCATTATCAGTTGTTATCATACTAATATCTTCATTGTTCTCATCATCAGAACAGCCATCAAAAGTCACTCGACTATTCTGTGGCATCAGATGATATGGCAAGTTCAAATTGTAATCTTTGACTGTTGGTTTAGTTTCCACTTTTTCAACAGTCTTATCAAATATGGAGTTCTTCTTCTTTCGTTTGCGGACCCTTTTGCGTTTTGTCTTTCCTGCATCTGGTGTGCTGCTCTCATCACTGAGTTTGGTCTTGTCTGTTGCAAGTGAAGCCTCCTGGAGTTGTAAGATTTTTTGTTGTATCAGAGACTGAATGTCTTCCTCAACTTCTTCACCACTTGATCTAACTGTACAGGCATCAGAGGAATCTTTGGCTTTATCCACATTCTCTTGTGCAACATCCCTAACATCATTTTCTGAACCAACTAATAATATTTCATTTTTAGAAGTTTTGTTTTTTGATGAACTTTTGTCTTTTTTCAAAGATCCATTAATGGGGTTAATTATTAAATTACTCTGTTTATAATTGAAAGCTTTTGATGTTGTACCAGATGTAATTACTTCTTGACTATGACCAGAGCCAACAAAACAGCTCTCATTTGGCTTTGTTTGCTGACTAACTAACACTTTACTAGAACCAACTTCTGAGCTGCTTTCCTTTCTCCTTTTATTTTCTGTTTTGTTTCTTTTTTTCTGATTCTCAATCAAGTCATCAGTTCCTACTTCAGATCTATGTTTCCTTTTCTTTTTGTGTTTCCTGGAGCTTTCATCTTTTAACATTGGTTCAGATTTTTGGGAAACAGATATCTTATGGTTAACTTCAGTGCCATTAAGGGATGGTTGAGCCTCAGTATTAAATAAACCTGGTTCACCATGGCTTGATTCTGATATACCTTGGTTTTCACAGCTTGGTTCATGTATCTTGCACCTGTAACAAAAAAAAAAGATATTCAAATTGTGTTTATTCTAATATAATAGTTATATAGTAAATAGTATGATAATCTAGTAATAATAGTAGGCCTATCAATATCATTATTTATTCACTAGGCCTATTAAAATAGTACTACATAAAACATAGGAAGTACGAACTTACTTAACTTTAACTGATACAAAATCATCATCTTTAAGTATCTCTGACAATTCACTACTTGGCAACAAGCAACCATCAATGCTGATTTGACAAGATTCAAATAAAACATTAGGTTTCCTATTGACAGAATTTGAACTACTTTCTAGTGATGCCAGAGCAACAGGCGTTTCTATGCTGCTGTTTTGAGTTAAAGTAGTTATGTTGTTATTTTGGTAATCATTATAGTTTAAGTGGGAAACATCACACAAACTCTTTTGTAAGCCTTGAAAACTACTTTGAGCAAGTTTTTTAATAAATTTTATTTTGTTCGACCGCATATTGAGTCTAGAAACAATCTTTGTTTTGACATCCCGAATCGTGGGGCATTCAGAAAAATAAACCATCATCCAGAATGGATCCATCGTAAAAGCATGTTGTTGAGAGTTTATTATTATGTCAGTGGGGAAGATTTTTATTTTAAGCCTAGCACTATCTCCACGCTTTCCGGAGGCTGCCATTTTTCGTCTGTTCACGACATAAACAATACGGTTTCTCCAGCTACCGAATTCTTTTATTAAAATGTTAGGACTTAACTCTCACCATTATAGACAAAAAAAAATATTTTTCATTTTAAAACAATTGACAAATTAAAATTAAAAAATTAGGGAAATATAGATCTACGGGCCTAATAATATTTTCCTAATTACAAAAAGATATTACAATATTTGTTTTGGTTAGTTTATTGCCTTTTAGTGTCCTGCCTCAAAAGTTTGCAATTATTATTATTATTATTAGATCTACGTCTAGACCTAATATTTTTAATTATACCCTACACGAGGGACTTAAACCCCTTAACTAAAGTTAGGGTGTAAAAATTAGCAAAATATGGCAACGTCATTTAGATCTATGGACATTTATAAATTTTCGGGTCGCTTCATTAGAGATATCAACTAGGGCGATTTTAAAAGCAAAATAGCAAAGTAAACCACTGCAGTGTATTTTCCTGTCTATTCCTGCACATTAATTTAAAACCCCACTCGACATATCTGGACACCGGTTTGATTTAAATCTATGCAGGCCAATAATGTGAATGGTGCGCATGTGTGTATGTTTTGTACACTGGTTATGTAATGTGTTTCCGTATGTGTTCAACTCCACACGACATCACTAGCGTGTTCATCAACTGTTACACACATCTCTGAAATAACTAAAATTCATGTATCAATGTGGAATTTGTAGTGTAATTCTATTACCAGTAGCGCTCGCTTATCTTTCTATGTTATTATAGTTGCAATGGTATGTGTATTATGTTACACACTTTCAGTTTAATAAAAAAAATTGTCAGTGTGCTATAAGTGTGTTGTGTCAGTGTGCTGTAAGTGTGTTGTGATACAGTTCATCCTAACCTAGCAGGAGTGTGTTAAGTGCGAATTACTTTCAGTGCTTGAAGCAAGGGAGGACACCAATGCACAGTTACTGTTCCTGTGCCTATTTATAGATAAATTTACGACCGGATTTCACCAATACATTATTATTGTATTGAGTTCTTTTAGGTGTAAAATGACGACACAACGACACGTCCTTGGGTAATGGGACACACGAGCCTGCTTAACAATTAGGGTATGTAGGCCAGTGGGTTTAACCTGTCTTGTATTCGATGAACACGATCAGGATGTGTATTTGATAAGCTGCAGTTACTGTGAACACAAGGAAGTCTGGGTAAGCATACACGGGTAATGTGTGGCTTGAAGGATGAGTGATGTAATGTGACTAGATTCTTCTCTACAATCGTAGATCAGATGTGTGTACAGTTGTTCAGTGTCACGGCGAGCGACGCCGCCAGGAGTTTAAGGATCGAGTCCAGGTTCTCCAATACAGGTTTGTGTTAGCACATGTTGATATCAGTTATAAAAGGTCTATGTATGTAATTAACTAAACATTTGTCGATGGCCGCCCAGCATTTATTATTAAGAGGTCATCCATAAAATATTAGAATTTTAGCCCCCACCCCATCAATGAATACGTGTCAACTTATGTGAGCCCCCTTCCACTCCCCCCTCATCTATTTGATGTCTACAACAATGTAATATATCTCAAAACTTACATCCAGCTATACACAACCAAAAAGATGGTATGTAATGCTCTTTCTATTTTTTTTAGTAATATTAGCTCTATAGTCCAAAAAAATAATATTATCATGCACTTATGTTTTATGAAGAAAGAAGAGTTTTTATAATATGTAGGCTATGGAGTATTTTAAATAAGTCGTAAGGCCCTCCCCCGTATTTTCTTGTTTCTTTGCTGTCTTAGAGGTTTTAGTTGTTTTTTTTTGTTTTGTTTTTTGTCAATGTCCACTGTTGGCCTAATTATTCGTTTTGCAGTAGATATGTGTTGCGATAAAGTTGGGAGTAAAGTTAATAACTTGTTAAAGCGTAAGGGTTATGTAATCTTATTTTAAAACTTTGGGGATATTGATATAGGCTTAATGGACTGACAATGACAGCAAAAATTTATTCTTCAACAAAATAAATAAATTTAAACCACAATTTTTATTTAATACACGTTGACTTCTTAAAAAAAGTTATTTAAACAATTTTTGTCTGTAATCCCTTTGATAAACACAATCAAGATGTCCAGTGGCCGCAGTCTAAAGTTCGTCTTAGTGGGAGATTCGTCTGTCGGCAAGACATCCATCTCATCCCAGTTTAACCACGGCTACTTCAGCAACACCTACGCTGCTACATATGGGGGTGAGTGCTGTTTCAGGGGCGTGTGTTTATGGTGATGCAGTGATTAGTTGTGTGTGCGGTGGTGGTTGTGTGTCGTGGCCAGTTGTGTGTAGTGGTCAGGTGTGTGTAGTGTTCAGTTGTGTGTGTAGTGGTCAGTTGTGTGTGTAGTTGTTGGCTGTGTGTGCAATGGTCAATTGTGTGAGTATTGGTCAGTTGTGTGTAGTGGTTGGTTGTGTGTGTAGTGGTCAGTATGGAACGATTTCATTGACCACCCCGTTTCCATAATATAAAGTAATTTCAGGGAGCACGACACCTCCCCCCACCCTCTCAGCAGCAGAAAGAACAAAACGGTATACAGACTGTATCAACCCTGTTCACAACCCGATACCATAGCAACCCTGTTCAAAACCCGATACCATAGCAACCCTGTTCACAACCCGATACTTTACCAACCTTGTTCACAGCCCAATACTTTACCAACCCTGTTCACAACCCGATACCATAGCAACCCTGTTCATAACCCGATACCTTAGCAACCCTGCTCACAACCCGATACCTAAGCAACCCTGTTCCCAGCAACCCGTTCTCACAACAACCAACCCATCTTGCCTGCAGGTCATTTTTTTGCCAAACATCTGCCAGACCTGAAGGTCACAGTACAGCTCTGGGACACCGGGGGCGAGGAGAGGTACCGGGCTATGCTGCCCCTCTACACCCGGGACGCCATGTGTGCGATTCTCGTCTACGACGTTTCCGACCGGGTGAGCTGGGGGTTGATGTCTGTGTGTGGGGGAGAAAGGGTAGCACACACTCTTGCCTATGACACTGCAAATAAGGAGGAAGTGGAGCTGGGTGGGGCACATTCTGAGAAAGGTGGCGCGCCAGGCGCTTGAGTGGAACCCTTAGGGAAAGAGAAAAAGAGGGCGCCCATTGCAGACATAGAAGCGGATCAGTCTTCCAGAACTGAAGACAGCAGGAAAGTCTTGTGGGGTTGCAAAATTAACAGCAAGGGACAGGACAAAATGGAAGGTTATGGTTAATGCCCTATGTTCCACTAGGATTAAAGAGGATTAAACATAAACCTTGTCTTTTACTTTTAACTAAAAGTGATTAATCATCGAATTTTCATTTTCGTGCACAACACACACGGGGCAGATGAAGTAGAGTTCATCTGTTTCAATGACCTGGGCCTACACAGGGACTCAGTAGCCGTGCTTAAAATTTCTATTATATTCTTGTCCTTACGAAATGATATCACACATGTGGTGGAGAAGAGATCAGAAGTCAGTTGCTCAAGGAAGTTAATAGAGAAAGATTGCAAGATATGATAGGATTTTTTTGGGTAGAAAAAACACAAACGATTTAAATTTGTTTTAGGGGAGGGGGAGGGGTTAGCCTTATATCAACGAACGATGACGATTGGAGTTTGGGTAAAAACTGTTCTTTAACATATAAGCAGCGATCAGAAAGCCCTCTTTGACTTAAGTAACTGGTTGATGCATCTAATATAACTATATTTTAATTATAGTTTAAATCCTTTCTGTTTTTTTAAAACAATACTAGTAATTTCAATACGACTATGAACAATTTTTACAGCTAATTACAAAAGAAATACTGAGTATATGTTATAAAATAAACCGGGAGTTATCTCCCCTAAACTTTCTCGAATATTTTTATATAAAATAACAGGGGATGGGAACTCGGGCTATAGACATGATTTTTAATCCATTTTAAATACTTAAAGTGTTAAAAATAGAATAAAATCTCGTAGACAAATTAATTGCACACCAAGTGAACGCGAAATAAAAAAGCGCATAATAGTGCGCAATATTATTAGTACTTTTAAAATTTACATTAGTTTTTTGAGAAATCGGAAATAGCGTAAATTACTACTTCCGGTCAACGGAAATTACTCAAAATTTAACAGAAGGTAGAGAATTAGATCTTTTACTTACATGTGAAATTTCATTTATCTATCTGAAATAGTACTCAAGTTATAGGCTTTTGATAAATTCAAAGTAGAAAAAGTACCACTTCCGGTTATCGGAAATCGCTCAAAAGTTGATACGGATCTACGATTTTGATAAAATACTTATATATGAAATTTCATCAACCTAGCAGTAACGGTACTCAAGTTATCGTGTTTACACACGGACACACAGACAGACAGACACACACACACACACACAGACATACGGACAAGATTGCAAAATTATGTTTTTCCGTATCAGTGAGGTGTAAAACGTCGAGATTTGTAAAAATCTCGATTTTCTTTTTTGCACGATTACAATACTTTCTCTATACTACGTATATACGAGAAAGTAAAAATACTGAGTATGTCTTAAGTGTTAACTTTATGTTCATGTGTTTATTCCTTGATTTTTATAGAGAACTTTTGCTTCGGTAGTCGACTTCTGGACCGATTATGTGGAATCGAATACGTTATCATACACTGTCAAAGTTTTAGTGGGCAACAAGATAGATAAGACAAAGGAAGTCGATGAAAAGGTATCGTTTTGACATTTTTAATCGACAGCGTCCCAAACTTGAGTAAGGGGTGATTTCAAACGATGGGAGGGGGGGGGCAGGATATTGATGAAAAAGTTTTATTTTTACATATTTGTTCTTTTTATTGAAGGGCTGTCACAAAATGACATCACACTCTTGAAGAGGGGGGTGGGGGTGACTTTCTGTGTTGAAGTGTGAAGAGAGTTATGGAGTAAAACTATGTAACATCATCCGCCATGTTGAATAGAAAAAACACCCGTTTGATGTTTACAGGTTGCACGAGATCACGCGAGAGACCACGGGATGTTGTTTTACGAGACCTCGGCCAAACAGAATCAAAACATTGACACATTGTTTCACGAGGCAGGTGTGTGCAACCATAACATCCTTCAAACTAGAGTAACTTATATTTAAAAAAAAAAAAAGAATTGTAAAAGAAATCCATTCAGGCTACGTCGTTGCCTAGCGTTGAGCGCTAGACAATAACGCGAAAGTCTCTAATTCGAAACCGGGTTCAAGTCAGTGTCCAGCTCTAATGGACACCAGCGAGAAAAGTCTCAAAGGTATTTGAGAGGTGTATAAATTCATTTAAAAATCTTGCACGGCGTAGTTACAATTAATATGGTTATAAAATCCTGTCTGTCTGGTTTTTTTCGGACTTTACTAAAGATTGGATATATTTGATGTTTTTAATATTTTCGGTAACTAAATAAAAATTTAAAAAAAAGAAAAAACGATTTGGTTTTCACGTGTAATGGCGACATAAACAATGGCCGACATAAATTTTATTGTACACATTGTAAGCTAAAAATAGAAACAATAGGTCATGGTGTTTAAATTTGCATAGTTATTTAAAGATTTGATCTGCAAAGTTTTGTAAACAAAATAACTATAAAGTGGGGCTGTCAGAAATCGATCACGGAGTTCCTTTACAGCCAATCACTGTTTGTCTTACGAAAGTGAAACATCGGGTTATAACTTAGGCTTGATGAAAATAAATAGAAATGTAACCTTAAACTCAACAAATTATTTTCAAGTTCTCTGGATCTGCAACTTGTATAGCATTGATTCTAAAACTATTACATTTCTGAATTAATTTTAGGCTTAAGTTTTTAATAAAATTTTATCTTTTATTAGTTTTATGGTCCTAAATCTAAAAAAGCACACTTTTATTCCATGTCAACAATATTACGGAGGGAATCTCGTCAACTCGCTGGTGTCCATTGGGTACCTAACTCACGTTAGCGAAAGTAAAGGCGGCTGGGCTAGAAGAGTGGTGAAATATTCGAGTCAGATCCAGGGGTGGACTGGCCTTGTCCAAGAGACTCAGGAAATTTTAAAAGGAACCCCACAAGTGGCCCACAAGAATTTTTTCCAGTAGACCGGCGGGCCAGTCCAACCCTTGTGATTTTGGCTGCCAACGTACAAACCCCAGTCACACCTACGGAGGAGCGGGGGAGGTTAGGAGATAAGTACCTTCCCTCACAACTGCCCGAGTTAGATCTTTTTCTTTAAATATCTTTCTTGTCAATTCTATAGTCCCTGGTAGCTGTGGCCCGACTTGTTGTTAATCCGGCTTAACCGTTAACCTAAACCCTAACATAGCATAGTTAACCCTCCTGTTGGTTATCACTGTCTTAGTGTTAAGGTTTAGGTTAGATTAGTTACGTGTTAAAAGTTATGGTGAGGCGTTTTGATATTGGATAAATAGAGACACGAGTCTATTAACTTGAGAACAACTGAAAACATTTTACTATTAGTAAAGTAAAAAAAATTGAAATCTTTCAAATAAGACGATCCAATTGCAGATGAAGTAGAGTTTATGTTTCTCTTACTTCGACATACGAAATTATAGCGAGGTCAGTACTATGACTTATCATATTTACTTTCCCCGACCCAAGTGACTATCCCATCAGAGCTTGATAAACTTAAGACGCAATACAATCTCAAACCTGAGATCTGAACTCGAAACGTTTAGTTTAGTGAATGGCGCTCTACCATTTGTTCAAGCCGGCAATGCGATAATTACTATTTAATTTTTATTTCAATTATTTTTTTACTAATATATTTTTTCAAGCCAAAGAAGTGGTACTGAAAATACCGGACGAACAAGTCAAGAAAGATGGCGTACGTTTAGAAAAGTTGGGAAGGAAGAAAAAGAAATGGAGGTGTTGATACATGATTGGATGATTCGAAATGTTTGGGAAAAAAGCGAAAGTTTTATCTTTTGACAAGCATGTTTGGATTCTTGACGCAAAATATCCGTTTCTAAACGTGTTAAACTCATATTGAATAGGAAAGTTTAAATCAGACCAAAACTATTTTAACCCGATCAAAACTGTTCAACTCGGGCGCTGTCCAAATCAGAACAAAATGTGTTATTATTATTCTTTGTTCGTAATAGTAATATTCAAGGGGATTTCCTCCATCAGTATTACGTGTCATCGTGTAATGCGCCATATGTGGTCTATTGACTCCGACTTAGCATGCTTTTCTTTCTGGATTTGCTTCCATAGCCTTTGTCCAACCAAGAACAAACTACAAAGCAGCAGTTGTTTGATTTTGGAGTTGTCTCTCCTAGAAGAGTGGCTGTCCCCAACTGATGTGCTTCGTCAGCTAGGGGGTCCGAACTAAGGACTTTTGGAGTTAGCAATCATAATCTATCCTACCCGACCACGCCATCCCCTTTGTTCAGCTAAGACCAATAATCCAGAACAACATACCTAACGAAAACTGATCTACGAACAAACCCATGGGAAAGATGCAAGCCACAACCTTCAAACGCTGAATTATTTTTAACCTGAAGAATTAATTAGCAACTAAGCAATGAGAGAATGTCCGTGAATTTTTCAAACGTGAATTTTTCAAACGGATTTCAATGCAAAACTAAATAAATAAACGGGACGTGATGTTGTGGTGAATAAGACGTCAACGTTGTATGTAAAGGGACGTCAGTGTTGTATGTAAAGGGACGTCAATGTTGTATGTAAAGGGACGTCAATGTTGTATGTAAAGGGACGTCAATGTTGTATGTAAAGGGACGTCAATGTTGTATGTAAAGGGACGTCAATGTTGTATGTAAAGGGACGTCAATGTTGTATGTAAAGGGACGTCAATGTTGTATGTTAAGGGACGTCAATGTTGTATGTAAAGGGACGTCAATGTTGTATGTTAAGGGACGTCAATGTTGTATGTAAAGGGACCATGTAATGTTTGGGTTTCAGAAACTCAAGCTTGTGATTGTGCGAGGAGGGTGTCACATATTTTTCTCTATGAACTCCTATGAAGGTTGGCAACTAGAGTACGTCAATGAACAAATAAACACACACACACACACATTTATACTGGTAGCTTATTGGATGTCAGGTGGTGGGTAAGGTTAGCCACACCCCTGTTAAAGGGACTAATTAGATCTGATTTGGGTAGTTACACATCAAAGATTTGTGTTTAACTTTTTGTTGTGAAGATTTGTGTTAACTTTTTGGTGTGAAGATTTGTGTTTAACTTTTTGGTGTGAAGATTTGTGTTTAACTTTTTGTTGTGAAGATTTGTGTTAACTTTTTGGTGTGAAGATTTGTGTTTAACTTTTTGGTGTGAAGATTTGTGTTTAACTTTTTGGTGTGAAGATTTGTGTTAACTTTTTGGTGTGAAGATTTGTGTTAACTTTTTGGTGTGAAGATTTGTGTTAACTTTTTGGTGTGAAGATTTGTGTTTAACTTTTTGGTGTGAAGATTTGTGTTTAACTTTTTGGTGTGAAGATTTGTGTTTAACTTTTTGGTGTGAAGATTTGTGTTAACTTTTTGGTGTGAAGATTTGTGTTAACTTTTTGGTGTGAAGATTTGTGTTTAACATTTTGGTGTGAAGATTTGTGTTAACATTTTGGTGTGAAGATTTGTGTTAACTTTTTGGTGTGAAGATTTGTGTTTAACTTTCTGGTGTGAAGATTTGTGTTAATTTATTGGTGTCAATATTTGCGGTCATTTATTTTTGTATTATTGTTAAGTTTGACTTGTAGATATATAAACTTTATACAATAAACTCGCAATATCTATACATCAAATTCCTTAAATTATTTGCAAGTATGTTAGTTTTAACACTGCTGTTGTAAAAATATGTACCATAAATATGTGTATCGTATTGTTTTTTTTATTTCTGCATCCTTTCATTTAAAAGTAAAATGACTGATTTAAAAGATGTTTAGCTAAGTGAGATAAAGTATTTTAAAATTGTTGTTCGATTAAATCCATTCATAAAACAATGTTCTGATTGTTTTTAGCTTTTTGATTATTGACTAACCTAGATAACGACAATAAATATTAAAGCCATACTGACCTTAAGATGCCAAGTTTAGCCATACTGACCTTAAGATAAAGAATTTAGTCATCCTGACCTTAAAAGCATAGTTTACTCATACTAACCTCAAAACAAAGAGTTGAGTCATAGCGAGCCAGGACTGTGATAAAAACGTTTACTCATAGTAACCCAGAATTGAACAGATCATAGCAGTATGATTGTACGTTAGGAAAACAATTCACGCAGGATAGATCACAACACCTCAACGTTCAATAGCTCGTGTATGTTGGACTTTGTTTATCAACACAAGGGATAGACGTGACGCAATACGATCCTTACACTATGTCATCGCGTCATTCAGGGTAGTTAGTAGTGGCGTCACTAGGTTGGGTGACGCCCAGTGCGGTAGCCCAGAAGCCACCCCCTCCTCTAATGACTAATATACTACCTAATATACTACCCTGTGTCTATAGAACGTAGAAAACCTTGTTACGTTCTTGGACTAAATGGAGAAATTCGATTTTTTATATCATATCATTTAATTATTACCATTACAGCTTTATTTAGCTCAATATTTGAGTTCACAATACCATGCAATTATTACCATTACAACTGTATTAAAATCAATTTTTGAGTTCATAATACCATGTAATTATTACAACAACTGTGATTAGCCCAATCGTTAAATAAAATCACAGCGCCTTACCACTGTGGTACTCTATTAACGAACACGTTAACTTGTGTACGACCACCACATGTGGTTACTCCAGTACTGAAGTACACACACACATCGCTTACCATTTACTCGAGTACACAAGAACTGTGTACCCAATGAGGAAGTGAAAGTACAATCAGCCGTGGAATATTAAAAACATAAATTGCAATGTTGATGGAGATAAGTGCAGATCATTCAGCAGCATCGGGGTGGGGGAGGGAAGGGGAGGGTTGTAGCTGTGAGGGGGTGGCTATGGAATGCTTTTCAAAATTCGTCTACTGTTAAGAACAGAAAATAAGTTCCATTGTAGTTTGTTTTTTTGTTTTTTATTTTTTATTTATTTTTTTTTTTTTTTAAGGAAAACCGTTAATGGCGTAGAAAAGGTTTTACAGATAACAAAGAAGGGGACTCTACTGTAAAATTCTATCTTATCGGTTGTTAGGGTTGGATAGTTTTGAATTTCTAACACATTTTTTTTTTTAAATTTGTTTGTGAACTTGGGTTACTAAAATTTATAGAAATAATATTATTTATTTATGGATTTTTATTTGGTTGGCCGGCCTTGAATGAAGTGACAATTTATGGAGATGGCAGGGGGTGCAGACTTTGGTAAGGGTAATGTGGATGGGGCGAATTAGTGCTACGTCACATGCAGGACCGGCGCTACCTATAAGACGAACTAGGCGGCCGCCTAGGGCGCCATCCATAGGGGCGCAAAATTTTTCATCGCTATTATCAAAAAGTACCTAAATGAATAACTTTTATAAAGGAGTAGCGATCTATTTCGGCACCCAAGACGAACTATCAATGTTACACCCCCACCCGAAAATTAGGTCTATATAGGCCTATATTTATTCGCTATGGTGAAAATGCAACCCCACCTCCCTAATTTGGAAAGGTCGGGGCGCTTTTTACCAGTCACTTTGCCTTTTTAATTTGGTGTCACATAATCGAATGGAGAAAACTATTAAATAAGTTCGTAATTTAAATTTCGAACATTTCAAACTGTTATCTAATTTTAATAAGGCTTGTAAGTCTCGTTTTCTCTGACTTTAAATTAGAAATCTGTCCTGGTGTATAGAGTTTTGTAATGACGGGGTGTTTAAAGTTTTGAACTTGTTTGGTAAGTTTTGATGAATCGTTTAGATTTGGGAGTAAAGGCGGAAGGCTGTTGCTGATATAGTTTCGTAGGTATAAAGTATCGAAGTGTTAAAGTGTCATAATTTGTATTCGGCTGTTGTGTAATTGAGGGTCTAGTGGAATCTGATTGGTAATAGAGAAATAAGAATGCGGGTGATGAAGTATCGTAGTTCTGGAGTTCGGGAGTATTGATTCTTGTGGTATTAAGGTATCGAATTATATTGACTGTTAAAGTGTAGTAGTAGGCCCAGTGAAATCGTTGTTGATTGGGAGTACCATTTGTAGAGCTTGGTGAAGTTAAACGAGTTGGTGTCGTAGTTCTGGAGCTTCGAGTCTAGTTATGTTTAGGTATAGAAGTTTGATATGTGTTGTGAATATAATAGAGTATATCGATTTGTCGAGTATATCGTAAGTTAGATGATTTCAATTCAGTACGGAACACACTACAAAGAAAGGTGGGCGTTCTCTAGTTGAAATATCATTAATTTTTTAGGAATCTATATTACCACTCTTAAAGTATTAATATTTAATATTATATAGGATGGAATTTATAACTAACCGTAAACTTTGCTTTTCAAATTATAATTTTTTTATATTTAATCAATAATTCTAGCAATGTCTAAAATAGTTACCCGTTTCTTTATATTTTTCAAAGGCGTCCCTTTATTTTTTATTTTTTTTTATGATCTAAACATATTTTATTAGTGATTGTACCCAAAGAATTTTATTAAGAAATATTTAGGCCCTTCCTGCTGCAAATACTCAAGGAAAGGCATAACATTAAAAGCTCCCGTTGGACCTACAAGATTTCCATTTCGACAAATTTAGAACTTTCGAAACATTTTCAAAGCCAAACCAACATGAAGGGACTTATGAAATTTTTTTTTGAAGAGAAATCTAATATATAAAGCCCTTTTTTTATTTTTAATTTTTTTTTTATAACTAATCTAATAAAACTTTTTTTTTTAAATTAACTAATATTTACAAATATTTACATTACAAAAATAGGCAATGTTTTAATTATATAACAAATGCATATAATCTACTACATATAGTTCATTTTAAATGGTTTTTAACCAGATAAAAAAATAAAAAGTTTGGACTTGATACAAAAGTTGACGATTATTAAAGTTCTTGTGGTGTTAGTTGGTTGTCATTTGAAACATATATTTCATTGTTGGTTGGACTAGTCCTCTTCGTCTCTGCAGACATATGATACTTCGTTGTTTGAGTCTTGATGCAATAAACATCGTTGTTTGTATGCCAGTTTTTGAGGTGCGTTTTAACTGCTGTTTAGTGGTTAATATAGATTCCGATCCTCGCAATATCAATAAGGGCTGTTGGATTCTTTTTTGAAGTGTTTCACATTTTTTTTAAATACTTTTATTTGCAATTTAAAACAAGTACATCAACATCAAATTCTTACATAATTTCGAACATCAAATGAAAACGAAATAGTAATACAATATATTACAATAGTAATATTTCTTTCTTACTTGTAGCCTGCTTTCATTCATTTAAGATGGTTTACATATACATAGATGTAATACAAAACGTCTAAATATAAAGAAAAATTAAAAAAAAAAAATTCATAAAAAACGTTTTAATAACAAGCTTTTATGTAATGATGCACTAAAAAAAAGAAAATAAATTATAGACTACTATTTAAATAACTATAAAGAAAAGCGTGGGTCACTTTAGTATCTATTGGATACCTTTACTAATGTTAAGGAAGACACCCACGCTTTTCTTTGTATAAAAGCTTGTAATTAAAAACCAACCTGAAACTGAAAATGCAAATGTGTAATTAAATGATGATTCAAGGGATTTTTTTTTTCTCGGCGTGGTGGGCTGAGGGGACGACGGGGGGAGATGGGGAATTTGTTTTTTTTTTAAAGTAGAGCTGAAATGAATTTGGGATTACAGAGAATTAAAATGATACAAATTTTAAGCAATCGGAAAAGTTATGTTATTACAATGAAACACGTAAAAGCAAACACTCTTCCCTTTCAAACATCTATATCTATACAGTCCTCAATTAGTTTTTTTTTCCTTTTTATTTTTTATTGTTTTATTAATTCAATTGTTTTAAACATTTAAATCAGTAATAATTATTTATTTGATAGATTGTACACAGCATCAATGACATGAACATCAATTGCATATATAATAATCAAATGGAGAAAATAAAATGGCATAAGAACTAGACTAAAATAAGGTGTGCAAACTAGGTTTCTCTTGACTGCTTAGTTTACTGTGCTTTGTCCTTAGCTGAGGAGTCAAAAGTTCACATTGTAGCCGCCCATGGACAGGAATAGAAACGACCTTGGGAGAAGTGTCTCTGCAGTACACATACTGATCCATCATTCCAAAACTTTCCATGACATAAAATTGACCCTTGGCAAAGAGGTCACGCTACCTTGAAAAATCCGCCAGTCCGGTTGAGTGGAGGGAAGTGTGTGTGTGTGTGGGGGGGGGGTGAGGTGTGTATCTCTTTCTACCATTCAGGTTGTGCACTTTTAAAAACCTGGGAAACAGAAGACTGTTCTAATGTTAATTTACTTGAGGGCTGATCGAGTGATGTTTAGCTTGAGACTGTCGATGTTAATTATGCATCTAGTTTGTTTGCTTCTTCTGTAGTTCAAATGTTAGTTTCCTGTAAAAGTAGGATGTCGATATTGTGTTTATTTATTATGTTGTTTATATAATGTGTTTGTCCCTAGCCCCCCTGATGTTCAATGTTGCCAGAGTTAGCATGAATTATTTGGGGTTTTCTTTCGAACATCTGTTTCTGGAGGGCTGGATGGTGGTGGTCTTTTAACGCCAAACTTTCCAGCCGCTGGTTTGCTATCCCGTTGGGCCCTGGTCACGACCCTTTGAGGTGGATTTACTGTAGGTAATTGATTTTTACTTGAACTGATTGCTTGACTATATGACAGTTGACCTGATACCTTTGTTGCTGATATACTTTGTGAGCTTTTAATTTTCTTTAGCGGTTTCGTTATGTTTTCTGAACTAGTGTTATCTTGAAGAATATCATTTATTTTTTCGTCGACAGCCTCCACATTTTCTTGATTCCCATCTTTTTG